ACTTGAGGAAAAAGACCTGAAATTGCAAAGTGCTATCAAAATATGCCAAGCTTCAGAAAATGCTAATGTGAGCAGTGCAGTGATTCGAGGTTCAGAGTCATACGTTGAACAAAGTGTCTCGGTACAAGCAAAACCGGAGTGCCAGTGCAAAAGTTAAGACCGGTTTATGCTTTAGGTGTGGCAAAGACTGTCGTAGGGACATGCAAGGGTGCAAGGCTGTTGATAAAACTGTTTGAAATGCAGCAAACTAGGGGGAAATCCCTCGCACGATCAAGATCGTGGACGACATCTTGGCGTATGACACCTCGTACAAAGACCATCTCACCCACGTTATCTCTGTCATACAACGTTATAAGTGGTTAAGCATCACCCTGAATGCTGAAAAGTTCATTTTTGGAAGGAACAAGGTTGATTTCTGTGGCTACACCATCTCGCTCCAAGATTACACCGCAGACACTCGGAAGGTCAAAGCAATCGCAGACTTTCCTTGGTAGACCACAGAACACCACGGACCTAAGGTCATTCATGGGGCTCACAAATCAACTGGGTGGTTTCTTCTCGGTGATAGTAGATGCTGCGCAGCCCCTTAGAGACCCCCTGAAGCCCCGGAATGAATGGCACTGGTCCTCACAACATGATGTAGCCTTCAAGAAGGTGAAAGGATGTTTGGAAGCGCCACCTGTCTTGGCATTTTTTGACCCGTTGTTACCAACTACGTTGCAGACCGACGCATCCAGGATGTATGGATTCGGCTTTGTTCTCCTCCAGAGACATGGTGAAATGTGGAAATTCGTCCAGTGCGGATCAAGATTCCTCACTGACACTGAGTCCCAGTATGCTGTCATTGAGTTGGAACTGGCCGCCGTTCTCTGGGCAGTCAGAAAATGCGGTACCTACCTCACAGGCCTCCCTCACTTTGATTTGGTGGTTGATCACCGCCCCTTGGTTCCAATCCTCAACATGAAGTTGCTCAGCGAAATTGAGAATCCTCGCCTGCAGCGCATACGTGAAAAACTTTGTGGTTACACCTTCACAACGTGCTGGCAGAAGAGCACTTCTCATTGTGCTCCTGACGCGCTGTCCCGTGCGCCAGTTCAAGATCCTGCAGACTGTGGCAACGCATCAGACTGTAATGATTTGGATCCCCTCCATGCAGCTGTGGTGTCTGCCCTCAATGCTGTCTGTGAGGATGGCAGTCGTTTGGCACCTCTCAAGGACCAGACCTTGGAGAAGGTGCACGCTGCTGTGACACGGGACACGGAGTACGCTGCTATGAGGGACGTAACCATCACCAGCTTCCCTGAGCGCCGCCACGAGTTGGAGCCACTCTTACGGCCGTACTGGGCCGTCCGTAGGCAACTGGCCCAGGACGATGACCTCATTGTGTATGGGCCGCGGCTGCTTATACCCTGCAGCCTTCGACGAGAGACTGTCACACCTGCATGACGGTCATCAAGGGGTGGAGCGCACCAAATGTCTGGTTCGGCAGACTACCTACTGGCCAGGGATCGACCAGGACATCGAGAATGTTGTTTCTAGTTGTTCACGATGCCGTCCCCTCCTCCCTAAGCAGCAGAATGAGCCCTTGTGGCAGGATGATGACTCGCCAAGTAGAGTGTTCAAGTCAGTTTCTGCTGATTACCTTCACGTGGCTGGCGTATGTCGACTGTATGTCTGGGTGGCCATATGTGTCATCGTGTCCACGGACAGCATCAGCGGGTCATCTTGTCTGTGTCCTGCGGGCGTGCCCGTTGTCCTGAGGACTGATGGAGGTCCCCAGTTCATGTCATCTGCGTTATGCTGTTCCTGGCTCGGTGGGGGGTGGAGCACCGGGTGACTTCGCCGTACAGCCCTCGGGTCAACGGACGCGCAGAAGCTGCAGTCAAGACGGTGAAGAAGCTGATAATGTCGACAACACGGAAGGGACACCTGGACGAGGACGAATTTGCCTGTGGACTATTGGAGCTGAGGAACATGCCCAGCGCTGAGGGGAGGTCACGAGCGCAATTTCTGTTTGGTCACCCCATGAGGTCGGCAGTTCCTGGACACCATCGCTCGTTTGCTCCAGAGTGGCAAAGCACAGCTGATGAATGTGACTTCAGGGCTGAGCACCTCAGAAGAAAGGCGAAATCACGACACGACTCCATGGCGCGACAGCTCCCTCGGCTGTACCTTGAGGCTTACTTCGACGTGGAGGACCAAGTAGGTGTTGTTGTGGGGATAGGAACTCGTCGGGACTACCTTGTCAAATGGGTAGTGGCCGCATCCTGTGGAGGAACAGGAAGTTCCTCCATCCCCAGTGCCCGTTGGTGCCAGAGAGCATCCAGAGTCCTGAAACTGCGCCCACTGCCATGCTGAGGATCAGAGGAGCATTGAAGCCTGCAGCTCCCGCCACGCCGCAGTGACCGCCACCAGCGACCAACGCAGCGACTGGAGATGCGATGGGATTCTCAGACTTCAGCGATGAGATGAAAAGATGAATCCAGTGTCTTGGGGGAGGTGTGTGGTGTTTATGTAATACGAACGAGCCGAGCGAGTGAACCACTGTGTGGCGTGAATGAGAGTATGCAAGAGTGCTGTCCTCTAATGGAGTGATTGACGCGTGCATGAGTGCTGCCACCCAGCGGTGTGAATGAAGTTGGATGTCTGAGTAGTTAGATGACATAAAACGAGGTTTTGTGATCATGTGTATTATCCTGTGAGACAGATTGTTTCTTGCTGCACCACTGTACAGACCTCTCCCAGTAAACTACATCTGTGAAGACTGTGTTTCATTGAGCCGTCAGGGACCAAGTAGAACTTGAACTGGCTGAAAGAGAATCTGAGTCTTACATACATTCACCTCAAGGCCGAAGCGTGCATACACGTCTCGGAGTGAGCTGGTTGATTGCCAGATTGAACTGTGTGGTGTCGCCCAGAGGACAGTTTGAGTGTGCAAGCCTGCAAGGAGCTATTTTTTGTATATAAAATATTTGCTTTGTATCTCATGATATGATATGTAACAATTTTAACAGTGCCACTGGCGCTAAACACAGGAATGAATAACTTCGGTTGCATTCGGATTGTTGGGGTTAATTCAAATTTTTACCTAACAGGACCAAAGCGACAAAGTTTGAATACCTGGAAGATTCAGACAGTTGGGATTCGGATAAAAGGAATTCCACTGCAAATTAAACAAAGTCTACGACATTAGATTTACTATAAATGTGAAGACGTTGTGCATACAGTGACCTGACATGAACGGAGGAGGTTGTTGGGTGTTACTGGGACCAGTACCATAGGAAAAAATTTTTACCATGGGGTATGGAATAATAATTCTGGTGTCCTAAATACTCTGTGATGCAATGTATAGCACCTTATACAGTACCAAAAATATTGGGGTGCTGACTAACCATGGAGCGTGTGCAGTGGCGGCTCGTGCATAGGGCTGCAGAGCTGCAGTCCCCCCAGACACTCACTGCCAGGCGTATGATTCCTTTAGAGAGACAGCTGAATAATACACTACCAACAAATATATCATTTTATATGTTATTTAATTATTTTCAATACGTTGCTAAGTGAATTTTCATTAAAATCAGACCAAAATTTAAGTTACTTTCATAGTTGCTGTCAATGCTGTACGATTCATGTCTGTTATTAATTGGCGCCGCCGCCGCACCACTTCTGGAGACAATGAGCTGCACTTGAAGCAGCTCAGTCTCGTACAACATGTTTACATTGCGTGTGGACGGTGTGGTTAAATCGTGCTTTCTTTAATTACCCTTTGACGATGGAAAATCGAGTGAAGTATTTGCAAAAGATCAACTTTTCCCAGCTGACATTAAATGAAAAGACTGAAATCAAAGCAAGAGGAAGACCTACACCAGTTTTATCCATTCAACAGAACAGAACAGTACAAGCAGGAACAAAGAATATACACGCCAGTTTAACATCAGTGTTTATCAGAAATGTGAATGGCTCTGAACTTACTGTACTGTACACAAGAGAAGATTTGTGTAAATCAGAAAGTCTCATAGACTTGTTGGAGATGATGAATGACAATAATCTACAGTCAACATTTTCAGACACTGTCAAGTTGCTGAAAATTTTAATAACAACTCCAATGACAACGGCAGAAGCAGAAAGGTGCTTTTCAACTTTGAAGAGAATTAAAACTTTTTTGCGCAGTACCATGGTGAATGACAGACTGTCTGCTTTAGCAGTGATATCCATTGAAAATAAAATGATAACAGAAATAAAGGATTTTAATGAAATAGTAATAAACAATTTTGCTGCATCAAAGAGCAGACACGCCGACTTTATTTTCAATTAATACTGGTCCATCACCACCTCGGCCATCCCTTCTACCACCAACACTACTACCATGCCCTGGGAATTCGTGGACATCAACTACAACTCATACCTGAGGTAGGTCAAATTTGTGTATCCTACTGTTGTGTGAGGCTTGCAGTCCCTCCATTTTATTTTTCACGAGCCGCCACTGAGCGTGTGTACGGGAGATGTGCATCTGCCAACATTTGGTCACAAAATTTCCAACTGCCTCGCGGAGTTGAATTTTGATCGTGAATCTTGAAAAGGGGTTACTAACAATTTTATACAAGTGATTTCACTTATATGGAATTTGTACATATGGGAGGGGGGATAAGTATATTGAGAGAATGGGCAGTGAAATATTAGTGAGAAGAGTATAAAATTCAAAGGTAGAAAGCAAGAGGTAGATAGGAAGACCAAGGAGAAAGAAGGATGGGGTAAAGGAAATACTACATGTGAGGGGATGGAGATTCTGGAAGCAGTACATCATGGTGTCTAATGGTTTATTTAAATGTCACAGTATTTAGAGTGATTTGAAGAAAAAGAGTGAAAAAATAGTTTGTTGTTGCTCTTGATTCCAGCCACCCCACAGCATTTTAAGACAAGGCTTGGGGGGAAACCTGAAGATGCTACACTTACATTTACCATAAATCTTTAGAACATAAATACAAAACAAGTACAGTACTTACTGCATGTAGAGGAAGAGACATAAGTATACTCTCAATACGTGCATTAGGCGTTGCAAAGCCAAACTTTGTTCCACGGTCATATACAAGGTTAAACTCTACATAACGGCCTCGTCGCAATAACTGCCATTTTCTTTCTTCGTCTGATACTTCATCATTCTTGTGTTTTTTCACTGTTGGTTGAGAAAAAAAAGTCATTTATATGCACATGTTATTAAGAGACATCAGCAGACATTACTCAAATCAACTTACTGTATCATAACTGGAGGATTGATCCTGGAATTCTTTCTTACAATTGAATTGGGATTGAACAAATCTATGAGCTGACGTGTGTGACAGGGATTTTAAAATTAAAGTACCTTTATCCTTCCTACTAGGCTCACAAAGGATAACTACATGGTAAGAAGGCAAAAGTGAATGTGGGTCCCATAGGTATGCCTGCCTGTCAGGGACAGCATGGATACAGCGCACTGTATACTAAGCCTTCAGTAAACATGGAGGCAGCATGGCTGGTACTGCTCTTACCCCACATTCACGTCACCAAGTTTTAAACTTAGGTACCCATTTACAGTTGGGTGAACTGGGAATGCCTTGGGATCGAACCACTGATCCCCAGAAAAGGAGATCAGGGCTGTATCCACTTGATCGCAACACTTTGGTAGGAGTGTAAGGTACCCAAAAAAGGGAGAAGGTTGAAAAATTTTGTTGCCAAGCAGAACACAAATGTTCCAGTCCATTCAGATTTTGTTGAAATTCGGATTTAAAATGCCAATATCTACTAATGAATTTTTAAAAATAGATTCTGCCTTTCATATTCTTGGTTTCTTTTAGGCCATATTTGTTAAATTGGATGAAAACTTGACCACAAGCTGCAAAAAATGAGTTACAAAGGGTCTTAGGAATAATAGTTACCATCGAAAGCTATGGGCTGATGAGCTGTTTTACTAACACAGGAATACCCCGGTTATCGCAAGGGATGCGTTCCTAAATGTCATTGCGATTAATGAAACTGCAAATATCGAGGCAACTTTCACTACATATATTTTGAGATACAGTAAACCCTCAAAGATCCGGACAAAAAATTTGGGGGTTCTGGGCTAAAAAGCCTCCAAGAAGTTTCCCTAAGAAACATTCCCAAACCAGAGCAAAGAACATTTTAGGCCCGTGGGTGCTGCTTGACCTGTCAGTTGCTTGGACACAGGTGCCCGAGGAGGTGGGAAACATAAACAGTTGACAATTGTTGTTTGTGGGAATACAGTACAGTATTATTTCATTCACTCTAGTAATGATACAGGTACAATGTTTCATATTATGTTATCATAGGTAAATGCGTGGTTTATATATGGTAATTTGGTTATCACATCATTAGTACTGTATTTTTGGTGTTTTTACATCATTTATTATTCGCCGGAAAATCAGCTTTTTCGGACAGGTGGTCCCCCCCCTTTTAGTCCGGATCTTCGAGGGTTCACTGTATACTCCTCATTATACAATGCTATATTAGGGACCAGGGTTGCATGTATACTGTAGTTCCAGTAAATGAGAGGAATAAATAAAATTAATAATACAGAGTACAGCAAAAAATAAAATAAAAGAAAAAATACTGCACTGCCAGTTGGTAATAGTTTCACATGGGACATGGGAGACTGGAGCAACTGAGATCTCCACCACCACTCATTCTTCAAAGAATCTATCTGACTCCAGTCAGTGGTTGTAAAAAATGTTCATTAACTGTATGTCTTTGACTTTATGATATCATTTCTTTATTTTTTTTAGAGTTTTGCACATTCAGTATGAAGAATGTAAAAAAAAGTACTGTACGGTATATCTACCAGAAAGTACTCCCATGACCACCACCCACCACTACCTCCCACTACCCACCACCACCACACTCCCATGACCACCCACCACCTCACACCACCACCACACTCCCATGACCACCACCACCACACCACCACTACCAACCACCACCACCACCACACCATGACCACCACAGACCAACAGCCACCACCACCCACACCCACCACCACCCACACTCCCCCACCACCACCTCCCACCCACCACCACCACCCCATGACCAACAGCCACCACCACCTCACACCACCCACCACCACCACACCCCATGACCACCACCCACCACACCACCACCACACCCACCACCACCACCACCACCCACCACTACCTCCCACCCCACCACCACCACACTCCATTGACCAACAGCCACCACCACCTCACACCACCCCACCACCACCACCACACTCCCACCACCACCCACCACCACCACTCCCATGACCACCACCCACCACTACTCACACTACCACACCCATGACCACCACCCACCACTACCACACTCCCATGACCACCACCCACCACCTCCACACTACCACACTCCCATGACCACCACCCACCACTACCACACCCCATGACCACCACCCACCACTACCTCACACTACCACACTCCCACCCCCACCACCACCACACCACCTACCACCACACACTGACCACCACCCACCACTACCTCACACCACCACACCACCACCACCACTACCTCACACTACCACACCCCATGACCACCAGCCACCACCACTCACACCCCATGACCACCAGCCACCACTACCCCCACACCCACCACCACCACACTCCCATGACCACCAGCCACCACTACCACACCCCACCACCACCACACTCCCATGACCACCAGCCACCACTACACACTACCCACCACCACCACACCCCATGACCACCACCCACCACACTCCCATGACCAACAGCCCACCACTACCTCCCACTACCCACCACCACCACACTCCCATGACCACCACCCACCACTACCTCCCACTACCCACCACCACCACACTCCCATGACCACCACCCACCACTACCTCCCACTACCCACCACCACCACATTCCCATGACCACCAGCCACCACTACCAACCACATCCACACTCCCATGACCACCACCCACCACCATCACCCTCCCGTGACCACCACTACCTCACACCACCTGCATCCACCACCACCCTGATGCTTCACTCCTTCCCGTTCCTCCTCTTCCCGTCCAACGATCACACACTAACTACAGTGGACATAAAAAAAATTATTATATTTATGTTTTGTCCTTATGATAACCATTTCTTTTACTTATATTTTGACCAATCTGTATAAAAAATTGTGTCCATGTTTCAGGAAAAGAAACTGAATAAAAATATGTATATCTACTACTCGAAATTACGAGTTAAAAAATAACAACAACGCAACTCTAAGGTTGGCCAAGTAGGGGGCAAGGTAAGGTGATGTAGCGACGGTGGTTGGCGACCTGCCAAGTCCACACATACACATGTCCATTACATCAGGATTTACTTATGCTTACTTCACAGGAGCATTTTTGCCCCATGTGGGAGAAGGCATGTGTTCACATGGGGCAAGTTTTTATGCTTCAGTTTGTCTGCATCTGACAAAAATAATCATTGGCAATTCCAGCTCCTACCATAGATGCACCACAACTGAAGCGATGTATAATGTGCTCGTCATATGAAGAATACTAGAACGCTCAGTGTATTTTTTCACGCCACGGTTTGGAAGTACAGGGACAGACATAGGGTGAGTATCTCCCGCAGGTGAATTTTCCTGTGCATTCTCTGTCCAATTGAACTTCATTAATTTCTAAATCCGCATGGGTTCATACACATAGAAAAAATGCTCGTGTGAAATGGGCCTTACGTCGGAATATGAGGGCTGTGGCTAGCCTGGTCGGTTTGAAATATTACTGTAGAGTATCACAATTTTTCATTCGCGAATAAGCAGGGTATGCTTTGCGAATATCGAATAAGGGTGTTAGAAAATCAATTGCAGATATGCTGGGTTGCAAATAGCGAGGTATTCCTGTACTGTAATCTAATTAGTGTTAGGTGTCATGTTGAGGGTTAGCCTGGGTATCAAACTTGAGGACTTGATGGGTACATAACAAGTTTCCTTGGACCAATATGAGATTAAAGTAAATGTACAGTCACAATCCAAAGTTTCTTTACCCCCCGCCCCCCCTGCTGGAGGGAAGGCAAAGACAAGATTGAAGAAAGGCCAATACCCATGCTCGTGTGTTTTGTCCAAGTGATTGTGTTGAGGTGATGGTGTGTGAGCCCCACCGTCACCATGCCTCAACACCAAAGTAATGAACATGTGAAAGTCTGTCCACCTGACCATTTTCCAACCATATCTTCACCTTCCCTCCAGCCAGGAGGGTAAAGAAACTTTAGATTGACACTGTACGTGCACCACAGATGCTCTCTTCAAGGTGAATATCACCAATAAATTTCCACTTATCTAAAGTATTTAAAATTCTGTAGAATGAAAATCTTATTCTAGAAGATATAGTACTGTACTACGATAATTTACCAATGGGAAGATATGAGGGAACCACGGCTTCTGCACAGTCCTTCACAAAGTTAAATATGTTCTCCGCATTCTCTGCCTCTAAATCATCAAAGAAAATACCACCAACTCCTCGCCTCTCACCTGTTGAGTAGAGATAAAAATTTGATATAATTAATCAAAATTACAAATACAGGTAGTTCTCCTATAACGCGATAATTGTGTTCATGTAAAATATCGTGTTATAGAAAATCGCGTAATAGAAATAAATCGCGTTAGAGCAAATTCGCGTTATCAAAACACGCGTTATAGCAGAACTCACTGTACTTTACTTCTCTTTAACTTCTTTATTTTACTCATAGGAGATGAACAAAAGCTTAAGTAAAGGACCGTCCTGGAAATAAAACACCTGACAGATTATTCAGCTATCCTTGGTCAAATTGCCTGTCTGTTTACCATTATTGTTTACTTGCACTGTCTGGATGAACAAGAAACTGTATATACCAGAGCCTCAACATTTGCGAGGGATAGGTTCCTGGGATGCTCGCGAATGTAAAATAGTACCGTAGAGCAAAACACTTTACTTTAGCTCTCTAAATATCACACAGGTATAGACAGATACTTTACACAGTTGTATTTTGTGCCAAGAAAAAGATATTAAATGACATAGCAAGTGAATGTGGTGTGATGTTAGAGAAGTCATCTGGATCACAGTACTGGCCTGCCCTAAACTACACCACCATCAGCAAACACACACCAGACATGCAACGCTGTGAATGAAACATGCATATACAGTATACTAAATATTAGGTTTTCCTTTAATGAATTTATGACTGGGAAGATTACATAATTTATCCAAGTCATATGTGTAATATCAACATTATGGGAGCAAAATAATTAGCAGTAGTACTTACCGTACATATCTACTGTAGTGCAGTGTACAGTACTTTTTTGTTCAATCCAGAATGCGACGTCTAGCTTTATACCTAGGTATGTTAATGCCTAGCAATAACTCGCCAGGCCAACATACAGGCAATTAAAACATCTAATAATTACTTAATACATAATATTAGGAGGACACGTCGCTACTTGGCAATTAATTGCAATTCTCAAAACCTCCCCCCGCACCCTCCATCACACGCATTGCTACCGTCATCTTCTTGCCTGGTGAATCAGCTGTAAATACGCACAAAGAAGGCTCCGCTAATTTGTGTTGTAATAGCTGAAATACTAAGTGCCACGAGGATTTTATATACAGTATTTATACATCTTAGCACGGTGAGGAAATTGAGTGACTTTTATTTTGTTTATGTGTCTCAGATATTGTGTTTGAGACAATTTCTGGTCAGCATGGCGACCACAGCGTGTCTTCTATTAAGAAGACGGTAGATCGTTAGTCACTAATAACCTCTGCTTTCAAGTCAATTCGTGAATAACGTTGTTTTTCGCCCTTCCGGGTTTGTCTTCACCGAAAGTATATATATATATATATATATATATATATATATATATATATATATATATATATATATATATATATATATATATATATATATATATATATATATATATATATATATATATATATATATATATATATATATATATATATATATATATATATATATATATATATATATATATATATATATATATATATATATATATATATATATATATATATATATATATACACACAGTAGGATCTCGCCAATAACGACTTCCACAATAACGTTTTCGACATTAACTGTAAGTTACAATAGATATCCATTTTCAATAATAACGGCTGGATTCTCTTGAATAACGGAGATTAGATTTTCCGGGAAGTGTCCGAGTGCATCAATGATAGCGTTTGTTTGGCCGCCATGTTGATGACGTAGTTGTCCACTCTGCCTCACTCTCACGCTCTGTGGAATACAGCGCTGCGCCCACGTGTGAGATTTTCACCTCTATAACCAGTGGTTGCGAGGGTCGGTGATCAACAATGGCGTCCGCGTTTTTGCCTGTGGGGGCTGGGGGAGGTGGTGGAGGGAGTGATTTACCGCCTGAATGCCCGGGAACTTTTAAAGTGAATGAGAAAAAAGACCCGAAAGCTAACAGACAAAGCCACAAGAAGCGTGCCTACTCGGTCACGGATAAAGAACAGATTGCTAAGCTCATTGAAAGTGGTGCACGGAACATTGATATTGTGAAGAAATTGAACTGTCCTGACTCTACAGTGCGAAATATTGAGAGGAACTTAGAGGAGACCAACAAGAGTATTGCGCTGGCTAAGAAATATTTCGGTAGTGATGGAAATGCGATGCGAGCTATGAATGATAAAAGTGATAGAAACAGGTTGATAGTGATAACAGAGCATTTTCTTGTGAAATGGTTAGCTTGTAGAATGAAAGACAGTGCAAGTGTTAGCGGCTCTCAGATACGAGATCAAGCAAGGGTATTGTACGATGCTGTAGCTCGAAAGAAGAACATTAAAGTCTCCCCCTCCTTTCAATGCCTCAGTAGGGTGGCTGCATAAGTTTAAGATTAGAAGTGGCACAAAGTATGCAAATTATCAGGGTGAGGCTTCGTCTGCTGACTTAGTGGCTGCAGATTCCTTCCATGAAATTGCCAATCAAATCATTCAAGAGGGAGGTTATACCCTGGATCAGATTTTTAACTGTGACGAGACCAGGTTGTTTTGGAAAAAATCCCCTAAAGCAACATTTATCTCTAGGAAAGAAAAACAGGCAAAAGGAGTGAAAATGGCAAAGGATCGCTTTAGTGTCCTCCTAACCTGTAATGCTTCAGGTGATTGCCTCATGAAGCCTCTGGTGATCTACAAATATAATAAAAGACCAAGAGCTTACAAGGGATGTGATATGTCCAAACTGAATGTCTACTGGGAAAAGACAAATAAAGGCTGCATGTCCACGGAGTTATCAAAGAAGTGGTTTGATGATTGTTTTGTTAAGGATGCCAAAGAATACTGCCGGAAGAAGAATGTATCCTTCAAAGTGGTGCTCTTTCTAGACAATGCCCCAAGTCATGCACGATTTCTAGTAGGACGTCACCCTAGTGTTGAGGTTGTGTTTCTACCTCCAAAATACGGCCACTAGACCAAGAAATCATAGCGAATATAAAGTTGCTGTACTACAAATATGTCCATGACAAGATGAGGAAGGAAACTGATAAGCAAGAAGAAGTGAAGGAAATTGCTGAAACTGTGAGCAGTAGCGAGGAGGAGAAGGGTCCACCCCTCGCCGCCTGGCTCACACACCGCCTCCGCTGCTCCGCATGACTCACTCACCGCCTCCGTTACTCCACCTGCCTCACTCACAGCCTCCGCCTCCACTCCTCCTCCTGGCGCACCTTCAACCTCCATAATGACTGTTACTGCCTTCTGGAAAAATTATAACATTCGCCAGGCAGTCAATTTCATTGTAAAAGCCTGGGGAAATACTAAGAAAGCAACCGTTAGGCATGCCTGGTCGGCACTCCTGCCACAACTCAAGTCTGCCGAGATGAAGAGACAGCAGCCAGAAGAGCTAATGAACCAAGTGTTGGAAACCGTCCACAGTATCCCAGCCCCAGGATTTCAAGAAGTGACTCGTGAAGATTTAGAAGAAATGATGCAAGAAGGTAACACAAATGATGTTGAGGATCTCCTGGAGGATGAAGAAGGTGGTGAGAGTGGTGATGCAGCGAGTGATGCAGGGGAGACCGAGCAGAGGAAAGTGACGACACAGAAGCTGTCACTCTTATTGGGTGTTTTTACCAGCCTTCAAGAGATGATCCAAGACATTGAGAGTGAATCAGGTGAAAGGGAGCAAGTGATTGGAGTTATAGAATCTATTTCAAGGAAATACCAGACGCAGTACAACGAGCGAGTGAATGCCCGGCAGCAGTCACTCATCACTCGCTTTCTTTCACAACGCCGGCCAGCCGAGGAAGACCAACAGAGAGAGATTGAAGTTGATGAAGACATCGATGACATTGGGGAAATGCCTGAAGATTTTGACTTTGCGGGGTTTGATGAAGTGTTAGCGGAAGTGGGTGAACCGGGTGCGAGAGGCCAGCACGGGGATGGAGGTTCAACGCAGTAGCCTCCATGCCCAGCCACGGAACAATAAACACACCAAGCACCTCAAAAACTCCCCCAAGGTATGGGTAAGTGTTATATTACTCAAATTCTTTATTCTGATGATTGAATAACAAATCTTTTTATTTCAGCTCACAAAAAGTGTTAGGCAGGGCTTCAAAGGGGAACAAATGGGTGAAATTCTTGGGGCGGCGGCACCAATAAACCCTTTTTACATGTACAGTCAACCCTCACTTTACGCGGTTAATGTAACCCACAGGGTACCGCGGAAAGTGAGAAACGCGTAAAGTGAATAACATAACATATGGGATTAAATGAAATAGAGACCAGCTGACCCCCAAACTCCACTTTTTCCAACACAATACCTATGTTCTAGTAAAAATAGCATCTTAATTTTATGATGGTACATGCACACAATTAATACTTAAGAGAAATAGAGAAATACAGTTGCCCAGTTAATGTCCATTCAAATAATGGACTCAACTCCCTTCCCCTCTTCTCACACTACACTCGCTGGCTCTTCCCTCTCTGAGAAATTTTGGGGGGAAAACCAGGTATAGTAATAAATAATACCTCAAACTAAAGTTAGGATAATATAATTGACATTGCTGGATTCCTTGTAAGACCAGGAATATTTTGAAAATAAATGTCATATATTTTGCACAAAAGATAACATATTTACTCAGAGTAAACATTATATCTAAAATTTGTATGTCTAATGCAAAATCTATGATGTTTATATTCAAAATGATCATCAAATTGTAAGAATTCCAGCAATGTAAATTATATTCTGGCTGGGTAATTTGTATGAATTTTATGAGCTAAAACAAATATCTTCAGTTAATAAAAAAAAATATTCTTCACGACACTATCTGTCAATCAAAGTACCCCACCTTGCCTCCCCCCTCTTCCAACCGCGCCAGATGGTCGGTCCGTCCCAACCCTCCCCCCACCAACCCTCCCTTCAAGAGAAAGGTTGGGTGAAAAAACTAGATTTTAACATTTAGTATTAAATAATACCTCAGATTAAAGTTAGGATAATATAATTGACAT